CGTTGGGGGAAAACGGCGCCCAGCGCCTCGGGCGCCGCAGCCAGGACGACGCCAGCAGTGCAGCAAGGATGCCTGGCAGCGCCATCGCCTGTCCCCTTCCTGCTCCCCTGCACCGACCAGGGGGTGAGCGACAGGGCGGGATGTTGGGGTCCTGGCAGGGAAACTCATCCCCAGCCACACTGGATCTAATCTCCCCGGGAGGGTAACTGGGGGGGAGGCAGGAACAGAACCCTCCACCACTCGGGGGCAGAAACGGGGAAGACGCTGCCGTTCCCCGTCCGGCCGCAGCTCTGGGGTGGGCAGAGGGGGCCCAGAGCCAGGGCCCTGCTCCCCTCCCAGCGCCCCAGCCAGCCCCTCCTCCGGCCTTCGGGTAAAAGGGGTCCCCTGACCCCACCGCCTCCGCCCAGGCTCAGGGTACAAAGGGCACTGGCCATTGAGTGATGCTTAAACGAAGCACCAGATCTTTTAGGGGGAACCGGCAGGACGGCGCATTGACTGGCAATGCAGCAGTTGCACACGCTTTTCAATCGCACGCACACACACGTCATGCACACACAGCTCTGCCAGAGGGTACAGGTACCAGTCCAGAGTCTGTGTCCATCTCGTGGCCAGCTAGATCGAGCACGGGGGGGAGCAGGGCCTTGTCGGTCGTCGATCCGATGCTCCTCCCCAGACGGTGACAGACGAACCCAAAGCTCCCTGCAATTTATAATCCTTCTCTGTTAACACCCGTGGATCCCGCTCCGTCCGCCTGTGACCGGCCTGTGGATGTCAGTCGTTCCCAAACGGCGCTCCAAGGCTCATCCTGTAATCTGTCGTCTTTTGGGGGTGCCGCTCCGCTTCCAGGTTCGTCGAGCTGCCAATCTGATCCGTTCTTTGACCGGGGGTCCGCGCCGACGGTGCCTCTGCTCTTTGCCGTCTGTCTTTTACAGTCTGTCTTCACCCCACGTTCTCCCCCTTCTCTGGCCATCTGGCTCTAAGGACGACCTTCACACTGTGTCTCATTCATGCAAACAGTCTCTCGCCCAGAACCCTTCAAAGGTAAACAGTACTGTTTTATATTAAGCAAAAGCAAAACCGTTCACATCGAAGGCCCGGGCCTTCACTATTTCTAATCTCATTAACACAGTCACAACACCCAAGACAGTTTAGAACATTTACTAAACTTCAAAACAAAGAAAATAGACCTTCAACTGAAAGGACTTAATTTGTAAAATATGAAATGTATGTTAATATATCTATGTATATTGCTAATTGGCAAACCTAAAATGCAAATATGAAAAGTATAAAGCTGTCAGCCCTAACAATTGTATTCCTATTGCCATCGAGGTGTTGGTGCAGCGCCCAGGGAAACTGAGGCACACGCACCGGGTTGCTACAGGACAGCAACACAACAAGGGCGTAAAGCTCCCAGTCCTCTCGCCCCGTCCCAGGGCTATGGTGGAGGGCAGGGGCGCGGAGCCCAGGCACCGCTTAGCCGGGCGGGCTGCTAACCAGGGGGACAGACCCGGGGCTTGGGGGAAGAGGTGCCATGGAGGTGGGGAGGGGGTGGGGAGGGGGCAGGGACAGAGTGGAGCAGGGGCAGGCAGAGGCGGGGTGGGGCAGGAGGATGGGGGTGTCCCGGGCCCTTCGGGACAGGGCTGAGAGAGATTGGAGGAGTGGAATGAAAAGCAGCGAGCGCTCAGCCAGTCTCAGCCCTGCCGCTTGCCATGCTGAGCCGCGTTCGCCGTCGGCCTGCGAGCTGCAAGGGCGCCTACAATGCACCGTGCTTTCTTCCCCTGCCCCAGGCCCGTCTGGCCCTCCAGCCCCGGGCTGTGACTGACGTCCCGGGGCTCCAGTGTTTCTGCGCCCCCCTTCCCAGGGGTCGGTCCGGCTGGGGTTGGCCGGTTCCTTCTTCCTGCTGGGCTTTGATCAGCCCTGTTAGCGGTGCAGGGAGGGGAGAGGGCCTCACCTCCATGAATCTATCTAGCTCTTTTTTTCAACCCTGTTAAAGTCCTGGCCTTCACCACATCCTCTGGCGAGGAGTTCCACAGGTTGACTCAGCGCTGTGTGAAGAAAAACTTCCTTTTGTTTATTTTAAACCTGCTACCTATTTTTTTTTTTTTTTGGTGACTCCTAGTTCTTGTGTTATGGGAACCAGTAGATCACTTTTCCTTATACGCTTTCTCCACACCACTCGTGATTGCATAGACCTCTGTCTTATACCCCCTTAGTCTCCTCTTTTCAGAGCTGAAAAGTCCAAGTCTTTTGGTTCCAAACCCCTCCTCACTTCCTTTTCCCTTTGCTAGTGCCCTTAAACGTCAGCATCTCTTTGGCTCGCTTGGCCTGCTGAATGTGCAGTCCGAGGATTCTGGGTCAGCTCTTGATTCTCTGCAAATGCATTTGCATCAGGTTGTCTGCCTTGGGAATTGGGGTGGGGGGAGGCCTGGGAATTGGGGGGAGGAGGCCTAGAGCCAGTCCCAGAAGGGCCCAGAGCCAGTCCCCCCCTCCTTTCCTAGGGCCCAGCCTGCTCTCGTAAGAGATCAGACAAATACTTAAGCTCAGCCGGGACCGTAACAATCGATTTTGCACAAACTGGGGCGAACCCTGGCGTTCCGAATGGAGACCCTGGAATTCCCCTTGATTGGTCGCCCGAGGCTTCCTCGAAATGTGCAGCGAACGCCAGGTACAGCTGCCTGGCTGCATCCCCGGCTCGCCCTGCTGAAGCGACACGCAAAACGAGTAAAGCCCGACACGCAGCTCCCTCGCACGTGCCCTGAGCTCGCGGGGTGACGACAGGCCGTAAAGTGAGTATAAACAGCCCCCTAATGCCCCGGGGGCGTCTTTCTGTTGGACTTTGCCCACCCCTGCTTTGATTCCTAATGTGACATTTGCCCCATCGCGGCGAAAACTGACAGAGACCTCGGGCAGTCATTCCATAGTGAATTCAGAGAGCAGCAAACCTTCGATTACGTCTCGCGTCACGTTCTCCACCGATGTGTCATCTAACGCAGGCTGGTGATGAGTTTAGAGATTCTGTGAGAAAATATTAAGGACAGTTGTGTGACCCTCCACAATGAATTGGGCTTGTTTAGTTTGGAAAAAAGAAGATTAAGGGGGGACATGATAGCGGTTTTCAAATATCTAAAAGGGTGTCACAAGGAGGAAGGAGAAAATTTGTTCCTCTTGGTTTCTGAGGACAGGACAAGGAGTAATGGGCTTAAAGTGCAGCAGGGGAGGTTTAGATTGGACATTAGGAAAAAATTCCTAACTGTCAGGGTGGTCAAATATTGGAATAAATTGCCAAGGGAGGTGGTGGAATCTCCCTCTCTGGAGATATTTAAGAACAGGTTAGATAGACATCTGTCAGGGATAGTGTAGACGGAGCTTGGTCCTGCCTTGAGGGCGGGGGGGCTGAACTCGATGACCTTTCGAGGTCCCTTCCAGTCCTATTATTCTATGATTCTATGACCCTGTTAGTTTGTGACTCGTTTTTGGATCGTTTTCTTGGGGGAAGAAAAGAAACTCTAAGAAACGTACAAGAAATCAGAATAGAATTCCAAACTGTCCTCTCTTTCTTTGGGTCCCTAGTGAATTAAATCTCTTGCTATTTTAAGAGCGCCTCAATGGTCAGGACTCTGCAGCTGAAAACGTTTGCGAAATCCTGCGCGGTAATATGGCCGCAGACAGTTCTGCTGGGAGGCAGTTGTTCTATCTCAACCTCGTCCATTTCTTAACAGGTTTCTGTGGTCGGTATCTGGCTGGTTCACTTCCATGGTGCTGGGAACTGTCCTGAGCACACATGCGGCGGTTGCAAAGGCTGCTTCTTCCCCGTTGGCGTGGAAGTTCACCAAGCTGCCTGTCTTAGCAGCTGCTACAAGTTTTGAGCAGCTGCATTTTTGTGTTGGTTCATTTTTTCCAAAGTGACGTGAACTGGGTTTGCCTGTTTCCCAATGGATGATGGCTCCACCAAGAAAAGCTTTCAGGAAGGAGAAAATTTGTTCCTCTTGGTTTCTGAGGACAGGACATGGAGTAATGGGCTTAAAGTGCAGCAGGGGAGGTTTAGATTGGACATTAGGAAAACATTCCTAACTGTCAGGGTGGTCAAATATTGGAATAAATTGCCAAGGGAGGTGGTGGAATCTCCCTCTCTGGAGATATTTAAGAACAGGTTAGATAGACATCTGTCAGGGATGGTGTAGACGGAGCTTGGTCCTGCCTTGAGGGCGGGGGGCTGGACTCGATGACCTCTCGAGGTCCCTTCCAGTCCTATGATTCTATGATTCTATGATTTGTACTAACATTGGTTGCTCTGCCTTTGTGGCCCACCCGGATTAGCCTAATGAGCACGTCTCAAAAACCCAGCTCGTTAGCCGAAGTGTGCACTTCCATGCCCTGCCCAGATGGGTCGGCCGCGCACCAGCGGCGTACGGCTGACGTTGAGGTAGGGGGGTGGAGAGTGCCACAGCACTACCGAGTGGAAAGGCAGAACTTGGATCCAGCGGCAGGGACTGTGAACGTAGCCGGCGGGACGGAGTCAGCCAGCCCTAAGGGCTGTTCTGGTTGAAGGAATTCAACACCAAGTCCTGGAAGCGTTCTCAGCTCGGGCTGGCTTGAGTCCCGTCTCTGGTTGCTTCCAGGTCAGGAGAAGGCCCTTGGCTCTGTTAGAGCACTCCCATTCGTGTGAGTCCGTGCGACGATTTACCCGGCGTCACGCGGGTCCGGAAATAAGGTTTGTTTGTCTTCCTGTAAGCCATTGCTAGGGGGTAGGTGAGAAGCGCCTCTCCGTGGCTGCTGCAGCAGGTGCAACCAGGGGAGAGGAGCACGTCTACCGGTGGCGGGACAGACAGACACAAGCAAACTTTCTGAAAAACGCTGTCCCTTTCTCCACCTCTGCCAGCCCAATGGAGAGACAGCTGGCCCCTCCCCTTCTCTGGCCCCTCGCTGCCCCCCAGTGGTCATTCTACAGTATCACTTTCCCTCCTGCCACACCCCTCCCTTTCCACTTTATGAGAAACGACCACATTCTAGGCACATCCCTTTGTCCTGGCACAACCACACTCTGCCCTTGCTTGAAGTCAGGAGAAGAGGAAGCTGCCTGCCGAATTGGGTGGTCCTAGCTCTCCCCGTTCAGGCGTTCTTGAACAAATGGACTTGCAGGCAGAGGGGCAGACAGGTGCACGTCTCAAATACATAGTAAGGCAGTCCAGAGGTGTCCAGGGTCTCTTAGCTTCTTCCGAGTGAAGGGAAATCGGTTCTCGCCGTGAACGCTGGTGTTTGGAGTCACCCGGGCAAGTCGCACGTCCATCGCTCCCACCCAGAGTCTAGTTCGACTAAGAAAAAGTTCGTTAAGGCCTGTTCCGGGATCCACCGTGAGCGTAAGTGATGCTTAATGAGCCACTCGGCCTGGCGCCTCCCCGTCACGTGCTGGAGAAATCCCTCAGCGTCCCCACGGGGGCGAACGTGCAGTGACCCTCGCTCCCAGCCAGCACGTCCGCTCCGGGTTCGCACTCCCACCCAGAGTCTAGTTCGACTAAGAAAAAGTTCGTTAAGGCCTGTTCCGGGATCCACCGTGAGCGTAAGTGATGCTTAATGAGCCACTCGGCCTGGCGCCTCCCCGTCACGTGCTGGAGAAATCCCTCAGCGTCCCCACGGGGGCGAACGTGCAGTGACCCTCGCTCCCAGCCAGCACGTCCGCTCCGGGTTCGCACGCCGGGAAGCAGAAGCGTCAGACGTGCCTGCTGTTTCTCAGACCTGCTGAGCCCCCGCCGGAGCGTCTGAAACGGCGCCCCATGTGCCCCTCCG